CGTGCTTGCGTAATTTTTCTTAGTTTAGGAGATGACATTATGGCGTAAGGCTGATAAAATCTCTAGACATCTGTCAATGGAGAATGTTTCACCAGGAGCGAAGACCAATGGCGAAACAGTACCAGAAGAACACGAAAAAGAGACTGATGCTGCCAGTTAAATTATACTAATTTCACTGTACTATAAAAAATATAGATATCTCTTTCTGCCCATGTCTGTTTACTTTTATAGCTATTTATATGCTGTTTTGCGAAGCAGTAACGAATACCCATCTTTCGAGGGGGAGAGCAGCGCTCGGCGCTTGCTGTTGCAATGACTCTTGTATCAAAAATCCGCGCTGTGTACCATTCATAACATTGCACCTGTACTGCTTTTTTTTGATTAATCAAATATTACGTTATTGTTTTAATACTAAGTTAAATGTGCTAAATTTCTGTTTGTTTTTATCGTTTTGGAAATCATTTATTTGTTTTGAAATCACCGACTTCTTTTAGTGCATTTCGGTTATTTTCTACATTCTGCCACCTCTTTTGTTTCGATTTCTTGCTTCTGTGGCTGAATTTTCCGTCCCTTTAACTCATTCTCATGCATTTTTTGTTCCAGACAATTTTTGGACTCTCATCAGAACTGAGAAAAGGGTTTTTCACTTTTTTGCCGTCGGTGCAGTACTGTTGCATACTGTAATTTCTCTTCTGGATTTTTACGGATGTGTAATTATCGAAACTTCACCACTGTCTGTAGCACGTCGCTACGTGTTCCTTTGAATAAGACTATGGTCATTGGCAAGGCTGTTTTGATAGCCTAATTTTTTTCTGATCGAGCTTCAGCTCATCCGCTGCATGGGTTAGACCATATTAAGTCAGTTTTGTGAAAGTTCAGCAGGCAAAATCGATTTTAACGAAGTTATTATCTCAACAAGCTGAAGGCCAATGGCCGAATGAATAATCTTTGGAAAATTAAAACAAGATACAAAACTTTGTGTAGTAATTCCTGGAAGCCGCATTTAAAACTACATTCTGTATACGATGTTAAAGGTTGAAGAGGAAATAATGAAACAGAAAAGATGAGGAAGGGAAGAAAACGAAGAAAAAGCGTAAGAGGGAGGAAGGGGATTAAGGAAATATTTGTAATACGTAATAAATGTATAGCCCGGATTCTTAGGGCGCATGAAAGAACAGTAACGGTTCTTGCCTTGCTGGTTTTTTTCAATTTTTCGTTTCACAGTCACTGATTGGCATGCAATGTTGTTAAGTGCCCACTAGGAAGAGTTGTTGTGTGTTAGCTCATTTCTTCCTAAAAGTTTTCGTTTGAACGAGCTTCCAGCAAAACGAGAGTATGTTTTTCACAGTTTCTCTTAAATGTTCAATGAGTTCGATATGCTTCGCCTCATGATTATTACTTGTTCTGTCATGTATTTTCGAAGTTCTAGATGTGAATAATTGCTGATGCATTGGTATTTATTCTGTTGGGTATCTTGAGGGGCCATTGCTTCTTAATGAATTGATAAATATTTGTATCGTTGTTGTTCTGTTTTTATGCGAATGTAAAAACGCATGTTGTGATAACCCCGGTGTTTGTGTGTGTGTGTGTGTGTGTCCGGGTATTTCAGCTCGGCATCCAAGCAAGTTCCGGCGCCAAAATTTTGCCGGTAGGTTCCTCGGTCAAGTGCCACCCAAGATACCAGTCCTCACGCAGGTCTGGGCGCCGCGTATCGGAGAGTGAAAGTTTTGGCGGGGAAATTGCTGATTCGCAAACCATAAAAGCTAGGAAGCTGAAATTTTGAGGTTATGTTCTCCATCCACATAAACTCAAAAATTTCAAATTTAGCTTCCAAATGTGCGAGGTTTCCGCGTACGACTCGGTGAGGGTTCCTGGCGCGAAAATTGCTAACTTGGGGACCGGGAAGGTGAGGTTTTAGGGGGATGTTCCCAACTCAAGTACTACTAAAATCTATCAAATTCAGCCTTTAGGCTTGCGTGGCTCTCGTGTACGGCGCCGTGAAGATTTTTGGCGGGAAGGGTTGGTAACTCGGAAACCAGAAAAGCTGGGAGACTGAAATTTTAAGGGGATGTTCCCAGCCTATTTACGACTTAAATTTGCCAGATTCAGCCCTCAGACTTGCGTGGTTTTCCCATATGGCCTCCTGAAAATTTTTGGTTTGAAAAATTGGTAACTCGGGGACTAAAAAAGTTCGAAAGTTGAAATTTCAGCGGAATATTCCCTGCACAAGTACCACGTAGTTGCGCAACTAACTTTCCGAGCTTCAAGAACTAGTACGTCACAAATTCTAGCTATTTCTTTTAGTCAGAAGCATTTGGCGGGAAAATCACTGCCGTTAGCAACAAAAAACGTGCGGGGAACTATGCAAAAAACGCATTTTCGCACCGGTAGTCGACGCACTGGCCAACTGTTTTCTAATGATGGTATGTATTTATGTATTTACATTCAAGTGTAAGAAGCACCTGCGTACTGATAAATGATTAGCCACTTTCAGGGGCACTGGAAAGGAAATAAGTTATAACAAAAGTGGCTAGTGTTCTAGTTTAATTTCCTCCCGTTCTGTATTGACCCATGCCTTCCTAGTGGCACTCTTTTGGTTCCCTCCCTACCTTCTTGCCTCGGTAAATCTTGTTGTATTTCTGTCGTTCATCGCTGCCAATGACATTACGCCTGAATTATGCTTGTTTTCACTGTAAGCACATAACTTCCAAATGCGTTCAGGTATTTTAAAATGCGGCGATCGAGAATCCATCGATCGTCGTCCCTTCACTCTGTTTGTTCAGGAATCTCATAACTGGAGGAGCTGAGAGACAACTCACTGTCAAACATCCCAAATGTCTCAGTGGGAGGTTTTTCTGAAATTTTTTATAACTTTTCTGCAATTCAAGTATTCTCTTCCGTTGGTTTTGCTTTTTTTAATGGGCATAATGTCGATATCCTACGCTCTGCTGGTTTGGGCCATCGTGATCTGCTCTGTTGATGGCGTTTTCATGATCGTATTTATCAGTGATTCGAATTCGCGAGAACTTTGTAAATTTAGAGGAGGGAGCATATATTCCGTTTCTAGCACATAATGTCTGGCAATAAATAGCCTAGAACAGGTGCGCCAAATCTGTAATTGCTGCATCTCACCAAAAGTGCAAAACCTGCAGCCAACTCATATTGGTGACCATTTTTATGCGTTTTTGTCATGCAGCGCTACAGCGTTGCAACAAGCAGCAAAAACACACAACACACATTGTGTGTGTGTGTGTGTTCGTCTGTCCGGGTGTTTGTACTCAGGGACCATGCAAGCTTTGAAGCTGAGACTTTGCCAGTGAATTCCCTGGCCAAATGCGGCTCCAGGAGCGTGATATTAAATGTCTCAAGTGCGAAGATGTGAAAGTCTTGTCGAGAAAATTGCTGGCTCGAATGAGAAAAGCTAGAAAGCTGAAATTTTAGAGGAATATACCCCACTTGTGTTCGACCTAAAGATTTAAATTCAGCCCCCTAGAACCACCCAAAATTCACTTACGGATATGTGAAAGTTTTGGCAGGGAAATTGTTGACCTGGGAGCGAAAAAAGCTGGAATTTTAAGGGAGCGTTCCCTATCCATTTGCGGCCGAAAGATTTCAAATTTAGCTCTTCTGTTAGGGTCTTTTTTCGCGCACTAGCAACTTTCCATTTGTCGGGCCACTGAAGTCGACGTCTACAACTGACGTGTCGCTGCTCAGTTGACTTCCTGAATTCGAGGGCCAATAGTCAGTTTTTTTTTGTCAGTTTTTTTTTGCAGCAAGCATGACACCGTCCACGAGAACAAAAATTTGAACTAATTTGCTGCCTACAGCTGTTTCAGTTTTCAATGATAGCATCTTTATATACGCTGGCTAGGGTTTTTTTGGACCGAACGTCGATTCGTTCATGCCCCACTAAATCTTAAAGGCTCAACAAATATGACTTCACTGCATAAGTTAAGGAGGTTTGGATTATCTTATTTCGCGCTGAGTAAGTTTTCTTTTAAATTCGACGAAAAAAAAAAACGGAAGAAAACGACGCAGTTTCTATATTTTTCAGCCAGTCACGTTATTGCGAAAAAATCCTCTTCCAAAGCAGTCTCTGCTTTATTCAATTAAAAGTTCATTTAACAATTTTAACAGTTTTTTCACAGACTGAGATAATAATAAATAAACAACACGGAATGCCAGGCAACTGCTAACATATTCAAAAGCACAAACAGCAAGAGCCTGGAGCGCGTACATGTGCTCTTGCAAAAAATTAGCATGACACAACAGAAGGCATCCTTTCACAGAAACCAACGGTTCAACGGAATCACCATTTTAAAACAGCTTAATGCGAAGCCTATTTAAAGAAAATTTGGAGCAAACGACATGTTCGCCGTTTTGAGACAAACAGCATTTTCGCTATTCCTAACTCTAAAATTCAACACGGTCTTTATTGGCAAACGCGTCTTAGACGATATGTTATGCTGCAGTCTACCTAGACAAGTATCCAAAAGACGTAGCTCAACCACGGATTTCAAAAAAGCTTCAGGTATGAAAAAATATACGCTGAAGAATAGCAGATGACATGGAATGTCGATAACCAACAATGACACCGACCAGTAAACAATAAACACCAGCTCAAAAATAGGCCAAAACAATGCAGCATTGTAAAGCCATTCGCAAGAAAAGCATTCACACGTCGTCCATGAATGCAGAGAATAGGCGGATGCAACTCAGGGGCTCTCATTAGTGGTTCCTACAAAAGCATATGCCGCGCTGCACTAATCCAAAATGCCACTTTGTTTTAAATATAATTCATTTTGCATTCTTCTTCCGGGATCAATTCATTTTCACTTTTTTTAAACGAAAGTCCCCAAATAATAGGCGTTATCTGCCTTGAAACGCAACAATGAATGAAGGCCCCCCACAGGATAAGCAATCAGATGCGCCACTGGCGAAAAACTAGTTGTTTAATTCTAAAAAAAAAAAAGGCTTGTACTCTGAGATCACAACGACAGCTAATAGGTCTCAGAATCACTTAAACAACGCGCTTTCGGGAAACGCTGTTCTCCCAGATCCACAGCGCCTTCCGCGTTGCTGCCAACCGCTCCAACTGGAACTTGAGGACCACCTTCGATAATTACGAGGTCTTCCTAAATTTTTGTTCTTTAGATTTTTATCAGTAAAAGCGTGTATGTTCCAAGTTCGTACAACAAAGAACCAGCAAGTGTTTTGTCTTTTTGGCCCTTGTTTAGTAAACAAATCGACTGAGGCAGACTGAAAGTAAAAGTACCTTGACTTCGTCTAGTATAGCCACAACTTCTTCACGCAGTACGAAAGAACTTTGAGCACTTCGGCAAAGCTGATCGATTTGATGCAGTTTATCGAGCAAAAATATATTTTTTTGGCCCAGTGCAATCAAATCCTTTTTCAGTTGTTTTGTCTAAAAAAAATTGTCAACTTCCTCGACAGTCGATGAGCAAAAGCCACTGCCTGTGTGGAGGAAGAGACTTACTTGCGCCTCACATTTTCGGTGTACTGCAGTGTCGCTCGGTGTCACAGAACACACACACTTCCGTGTGAAGGGAGCACTCTTCCGCGCGAGGAGCATACTCATCCGTCTGGGGGGCATCGAATAACCTGAAAAAAGAATAATGCTCTAATAGGTTAAAAGCAAAAAATCTTAAAAATCTTTTAAATTTTCTTGAAAAAAGACGCGCAGGACAGTGTCGAAGCCAAGATTTTAAGAATGAAGCAAATAATATTAAACAAGGCATGTTGCTCGAGGAAGCATCAAGAGGGAGACATGATTAAATCCTGCGAAACACGATGCACCTTTTTTGCAGAAATGGTCAAATTATGGATAGGGAATTTCGAGACAAAGGTGGGTTACTCGGAATTTTCAATAAGCTATAAAGCCAACTTTTGCTTAGGCAAGGCGTATGTGCCTTGCCAATTATACCAGTTTGATTTGTTGCAGCCAACTTCGACGCGGGTACTGGCTGAAAAAAAAAAAAACATCGTGAGCTGACTAAACTGTACAGGCTTTAAATGTAAGGCATAAAAAATTACGCTACGCACCGGAAGAGAACTAATTCATTTCTTTTGGATGAAATCGATTTATTTTTGTTAGAACTTTTTCACCGCCATCCATAAATGAGTCGGACAAAAAAAAAGCCCAACTATCAGCTTTCAAGAGACCGAATGTGGAGGACTTTTAACTTTACAATATTTAGAAATAAAAAAAGAATTTATGTTCAGACAGCAACAGCAAAAAAAAAAAAATTAAGATTTTTCAATCCTTGGGTCACTAAGAAGCATTCAAGCTGATTTATTGTGCTTGGTGGTTAACAGAATTCAAAATGCGAATGAAAGCCTAATATTTATCCACGTCAATGCTGACAGAACGCACATTAGGAAAACGTTTGCCATATTTTTACTAATATCGCACACAAGTATATTATACTGTGGGGAGAAGTTGTAGCGTTCATTACCCATCAATGTTTATATGACGCACTTGAACGGCTATGTGAATGTAACTCTAAAACTCTGTAGCGCGATATATAAACTAGCCTAATCTATATACCCATTTTTATAAACAGGTTCGAAATGCAAGAGTCTGGTGTCGGGCTCTCTGCCTAAGTAAGGTCTTAGGTGTCGCATTTAGGCATGCTAACTTCCCCTCAGCAACAGGTTTCAATCTGAGCACAAAAACCTGCATAAACTTCGCCCGCGTTTCCAGCCCCTACTGGCAGGCTGGGTCTCAGTTTCCTTGCAGCCTATAAACCCCTCTCTTCCGTTACAACTCCCCGAGACATAAACAAACGCCCTCGCCTGTTACCTCCTCAATCCTCCATCTCCCCACGCCTCTCAGTCACTGCAACTCGTCTCCTGACCCGGCCCAGCTGAATTTTAGTTGCTGCCTAAATGGAACCAGCGGATGCAACAGAATAGAACAAATTCAAGAAGGCATCAGGTAGCATCGACAAGAAGGAACACTGCAATTTGCTCAAAGCATTCAAGAAGCATTCTCATGTATTTAACTTGAATGATGAATAATATTGAAGTGATTCAAAAAAGCAAACGAAAAAATACCTTGCTCTTACTACCATCAGAAATATCCGGCCAACTTCCGCCATAGTTGGCGTCGAAAAATTTCTTGAACCATTGTAAGAATTCCAAATTGTCTTGAAACTTAGCTCGGATTAAGCGTTCGACGGGCACCTCCTGAATTAAAATATTTGTTGCACCGAAACATTTATTAACAACACAGTGACACTGATCATTCTCACAGCTCCTCTACTTTCGGCAGTTCGATAAACAACCCCACAAATTCATAAGCCATTTCGATTTTGATTAAGCAGAACACAAGCGAAAAGACTATCAAGATTGCAGGTAATACAGTCTATTCGGTTTTACAGCTATGTCGTAACTCTTTCTGTTCAGAACTCTAGTTTTTAGACTTCACCATTGCTAAATATCGCAAAGAACAATGATTTCATGTCAAAAAAAGCATGTGGTAACAGCACCTTTTGTACTCCAATTTTGTCCCACACGGACTGCAATACACGCCAATTAGCAATCCAATCATTTTCTCTGTTCGAAACCAGCTTCACTTTTTTGAACGGCAGTTTACCTGGGAAGAGTATTTCTGTCAGTTCGCAGTAAGCTGCACCCGTCGCCAACTCCTCAATGCGCTTATATTTTCCCTGCAATTTAAGCAAATTTCAAAAGCTTTTTATATTAGTTTGTTCGGTTCGCCTCCTATCCTACACATATTCTCATTTTTTTTCTGCCAGGCTAACGATATGTCTGCGGACAAACAAGTTTCGCTAAAGACGTTATAGCAAGCCAATTTTAATGATAAATGGCCTGGTTTAACAAAATTAACCGGCAACTTCCTGGTTTTAAGAAGCAGGAAATTCTGAAAAAACTATCTTCCTGATACTGCATGTATAGTCTAACAATGAGCTTTGAGGGAGGTGGGCAAAAGGATGCAAAATTAAGTGAAAATTTAGTAAACCCAAAAGACAAGAACTAAATCAGCGAAAAAGTGTTGATTTGGGGGAAAAAGCACAAAAACCGGCTCGAAATGAAAGTTAAACTGGAAGGCGGTTTTTGGTACAGACGTAACAGTATTTGTTTGATGCAAAGAAGACAGGTTAGCATTTCATGCAACATGCAGCAAAAATGTACCCCAAGAAAACTGTTGACAAATGCAAGCAAATCTTTGCGCGAGCACGGTTCGATCGTCGATGCGGTTGCATAAACATTCACTACTTCCATATCGCTCGCTAAAAACAGACTAATTCGAATTAGCTGAAACAGACTAATAAAGCTGTCCTACGCGAAATGTACTCTTCTTTCTCTCTTCCCATCAGATGCATAGAAGGATTCAGAACGGCCTCCTGGAGGAGTGCTGCTCCTGGTGATGGGAGGAGGGCGGGGTCGACCGCGATGCGGAAGAAAATTCTCTTCAGTTTTAGCACTGCTACCTGTGCCGAAGGGGCGGGGAGCGGAGAGGGGGGGGG